CCACGCCCAGGCTCAGTTGCCATTTCAGCACACCCGCAGACAGGGCCGGCATGGCAGGCCGGGAGATCAAACCCCCAGCTCCTGCACCTGCTTGCAGGCGCTTTAATCTACTGAGCTATTTGGCTGGCCCTGGACTTGGTTTTAAAACAGGGCCATGTTTCTGGTCTTGGTGTCAGAGGACACTGAAGGACAGGGTGTGGCTTGCCAGGGGACACCTAGCAGTCCCTGCCCTGCGCCTCCTCCACACCGAGGTCACCCACTTCCCCACCCACTGCCAGTTCAGCCCAGCTGAATCTTTGTGCTTTCCAAATCCAGTGCATCTTCAAATAAAAGCCAACTGCAACATCAAGGCTTCAGGACAGCAGGCCGCTCACGGAAAGTGCAACCCCTCCCGCTCCGCTCCGGAGTGCGCGGCTCAGGAAGGGGCAGGACCAAGAGGTGGAGCTGCTGCCCACCGGGGGGAATTTCCGCAGCACTGAGGTACACTGGGCGCCCGGGTGCCTGGAGGTAGTTGTTCGCTTCCCACGGGAGGCACTGTGCCCTGGGGCTTTTCTGATTATAGCCTTTCCTTCTTCCTTTTCGCTTCAGTCTTCTTCCTGTTTCCCTCAGATCCCACCTCTTTTGATATTTTCACTTGGGAGGGTCTTGGTAAGTGCATCAGGCCAGGCTGGAACTTTTCATCCTCCTGCCTCAGCCTCCTCTGCTGGGATTGCAGGCGGGCCTGACCCATGTCCTGCTTGCTTCTGTATTTTCTTGTCTTTGCATATTTACATTTGAAGTTGGGGCCTCAAAGCCGCGAGAACACTGTGAAGATGCAGAGCTGCAGGATCATTTAGGACAAAAACACAGCTGGGGCTGGCTGGAGGCTGACAGACTGCGAGGGCGGACCCGGACTCTGCCCGCTGGGGAGCAGGCGGGCTCTGGGCGGCGGCGTGCAGGCTGCAGGGCCGGTTTGGGGACCTCGGGGCCTCAGAATTCTGAGAGAACTGGGAGTTTATCTCCCAAGATACCTTTCAGCAAGTGGATCCTGCTCCCAGCAGCTGACAGTGTGCTAGGAATTTAACGTAGATGACAAGGCAGATTTCTTATTCTAAAATAAAGCAGGCCTGGCCAGGTGTGGTGGCCCAGCCTGCACGCCCAGCACTTGGAGGCTGAAGTAGGCACATGCTGAGCTGGCGGCAAGCCTCACCTCCAGAGCGAGCTCCAGGCCAGCCGAACCAGAGTGAGACCCTGTGTGCAAGAAAACAAAGGGAAGACGTTGCTCCACCAGCGAAGCGCAGAGAGCACAGCTCCGCGGAATATGACCCAGGAAGCCGAGGTAATGCATAATGAGCTGCTCTGGACCACCCGGAAATGGTTCAGCCTTGCTTCCAGCTGCTCAGGAGACTGAAGCAGGAAGGTCCCTTCAAGTCGGGACTTCGAGGACCACGTGGACAATACGTCAGGGCCTTACAAGTACAAAGTCAGATCTTACAAGTACAAAGCTTGTGATCTTACTTTCGTGTAAAGCAGCCCGAGCTACCCGGGACTCAGGTGCTTTCTAAGCACCCGATGCACATTTTATAGGAAAGATGGAAAGGAAGAGGGCAGGGGCCAGGTGTAGTGGTGCACACCTGTATTCTCGGTACTACAGAGGCTGGGAGGCTGAGGCAAGAGGATCGCCGTGAGTTTCAAGCCCAGCCTGTGCTACGTCATGAGTTGAAAGCCAGCCTGAACTACCTAGTGAGACCCTGTATCAAATATAAATAAATAAATTTATTAACATTTTTAAATGGAAGAGAAGAAGGGAGAGGGGAGGCAGAAAGGAAGCATTTGCCTGAGGGTTCTGTAACAAGAAGCCCTGACAACTGCTACCTGAATTTGGGGTTCATGGCTATATAAATTGCGCTGTGACATACTTTGAATCAATTTTTTCTCTTTATGGAACAATTCTGGCTCAGTGGCTGCTAGCTACAGTGCACTACACAGCTCCACCAGTCCTTCCCGAGGGCTAGGGACTCAGGCCTAAGAATAACAGCGCCACCTCCTGACACTTCCAGTCATTAGAGCTAAGAAGGCAAGTGTTCTTTTTTAATTTTGTGTATTTGACACTAGGTCTCTATGCAGCTTGGATTTGTAGTGATTCTCCTGTTTTCAGCGGGGCCAGCAGGGCCTGTGGTGCCAGGGATCGAACCCCTATCCCTGTGCTTGCCTAAGCCCTACGGCAACTGTTCTAAAGAAAAGACCAAGTGTGGAGTGTGAAGCGTGCAATCTATGAGCATCTCCATTCTCCCATCCAAGAAAGCTTCTCTTAAAATTGCGTGTGTGTGTGATCCGCGCTCACCCACTCGCTCATCTCCCAGGCGATCTCTTGCGGGCCTTTTCACTGCAGTCCTTAGCAGTTTGAGCACGTATGCGGCAAAGGCCGTGTTGCTGGGATTATCGCTTTAGGGTGTGATACTGACGTAACTGCCTCCTGGGGGCTGCAGCATCGATACCGGGGTCCACAGCGTCCCAAGGCTGGCACTTAGGTTGCTAGGGAAGCAGCCGAAAAGACAGAGGTTTCCCTAAGAGGACCAAGGAGGGGTCACAGCAGAAAAAGAGACCAAAGAGACCCCCGCCTCAGCTCCAGCCACTGTTGGTCCCTGAGGACTGCTGCCAAGATGTCAGACAGACCGGACTCCTCCAGCCCCCACCTGCAGCCTCCGTGGGACACCGGAAGGCCCCGGTGCTCTTGTTGCTGCTAGGAACTCACAGTGTAGGTGTCTCTACAGCACACACCTTCTCCTCTGCCTCCCGTGTGCTCCGCAGAAACTCCACAAGGGAGCTGCAGCATTTTATTTAATTTTTTTTTTTAATTTTTATTTATTTGAGAGAGAGAGAGAGAGTGTGTGGTGTGTGTGTGTGGCCAGCTCAGCCCACCAGGGGGCAGGGCTGGCTGGCATGTGGTGCTAGGGGATTGAACCGCGGTCCCTGATGCCTTGCCAAGCTTGTTCTAAGTAGGTGCCTTAGACCACTGAGCCATCTCTCCAGCCCCAGCATTTTATTTAAGTTGCCCACCCTGACCTCAAATTTGTGATCCTCCAGCCTCAGCCTCCCAAGAAGTGTCAATTAGATCAATTTGAGCAGGTTTAGTCCTTTGTACTTCAGTATATTCATGCCCGCAGAATATGATAACACTGCTTTATCTACTTGTACAGTTCCACAGATGAAGGCTTTTAAAAACGGCTGTGGACTAGGCAGTACAAGTTAGTAACCCAAAGAAGTCACTTCCCCACTGCTTGGTGCCCTGTCTGTGAGACCGGACGCTGAACGTGCCGTCGTTCAGCCAGGTGTGCTCCCTCCGTGGCGGCCACAGGATCGCTGGTCTGGTGACTATGATGCAGCTCTTTGAAAGAGAAAGGCATCATGTGGGGAGTCCAACGAACGTCAGGAGGAGAACGGAGTTCCTGATCCCACACGCTCTCTACAGGACAGACAGGAAGACACCACAGTGGGCAGAGTCATTCAAGAAACAATGAAGTCTTGTTTTTAACCCTGACAACTCTCCCTCCAGCCCATGTTCAAATCTGGCCCTAAGCAGAGCAGCTACAAACAAGGCAAGGTGGGCCAGGTGTGGTGGCACACGCCTGTTAATTCCAGCGCTCTGGAGGCTGAGGCAAGAGGATCCCTGCGAGTTCAAGGCTAGTTTAAACTACATAGCAAGACCTTGTCTCAGAAATAAAGGTAACCGTGGTTTCCCTGCACCCGTCTGCACCTGGACTCTCGGCAAGTGCAGGGGCTCGAGACCACGCCACCGTTGTCCCTCCTGGAGGCCCGCAGCAGCACCTGCTGGGGCAGGTGGCTAGAAATGTGGCTTAAGATCTGGCAAGGTGATCCCAATTTCTGTCTTTCCTCAAACGGCAATTCTTCACTCGGTTTTTGTGGTGACTTCAAGCTTCTAAGAGCAGAGGAACAGTTCTTACCCTTGTGGGGCTGTGGGGACCGGGTGACACACGGGAAAGCTCCCTGAGCAGTGAGCGCCTCCTACACCACCACAGCTGAGCGGGCCTTTTTATGCTGGGCGGGGCAGTGCAACCCAGCACTGGGGAAGCTGAGGCAGGAGGACCGAAAGCTCATGGCCAACCTAGGCAGTCTCAAAATGAAAACTTGGGCTGGGGATGCAGCACAGGCCCTAGGTTCAGTTCCCTGCACACACACAGAGGTGACTAAAATGGTGCCCTAGCCTCAGCAGGAGGAGAGTTGCCTGCCGTAGCCAGCAGTAGAGCAGTAGACCACACTACACGGATACTGACTTTAATCAGGTGAAACAGCAACAGGGTCTGTGGACAGGGTGTAGGAGCCGGCCATGTTGCCATCCTTTTTTCTTAGTGGGTTTTGTCCACTTTTTCTTCTCACAGGGCTTGCCCTTGAGGGCCCTCAATGCATTCCCAGTGGTCCATTTTGCCACCCCAAGTCTACACTCCATGAACTCCCTTCACACAATACTATTTTCTACCACCAGGGATTGAACCTAGGGCCTTGAACTTAAGTGCAGGATTTACACCAAGCAGCCCAGGCTGCTTAGTCTTCCACTTTGTTTTTTTCCTGGGATGGAATTTTCTAAAATTTTTTGTAAACGATTGATACTCCCAAAACTTTTTAATTACAACAGTTGTTGCAACACAACGGAGATGCCAAACACGGGGAGGCACTATGGGACAGTGCCTGCAGCTCCCAGAAGAGACTGACTGGGTGTGTAGGCTGCCCCACATACTAGATGACAGAACAACCATCTCCTGAGAGGAGTGACCCATCTAACAATCTACACCAAGAAAATGCCGACTTTTTCCAGATGCATCCTATGTTGAGTGACTAGTACTTTGCACATCAGACTTACAAGCAGTGAGGGGAGACAGACACTCCAAAAGGGCACTGTTCTACACAGAAAAACCCTTTCACCTTGAAATCGTAATCTTCTGGAACCCTGCAAAGAGGACACCCGCAACTGCCACTCGTTCGTTTACTTCCATTATATTCCATTTGAGTCAGCATCTTTATTTCAAAATAGCATTTTATTATATAAAAGTGTAAAAATCCAGCAAAACCAGAAATGCCAGTATGTTGTCCTGGGCTTTCACATTTGTTGATTTTATTCGCAATCTCTTTTTCAGTACAATTTACAACCTCACCCCACCCCCCAGCCTGATTATACAAGCGCTACACGGCAGAAGGTCTGGAATAAATACATGGAAAGGCAAGCAAGACCCCGGGAGCATGCAGGGGCGGGCGCTGGGGAGCGGGAGATGGTGGGACAGGCACGGCTCTCAGTCGTCCTTGTCCTTGGCCCCGTGCTTGAGGATACGCGTGAACTCCATGTAGTTGAAGTTGCCCTTCTTGTCAATGGGGGCCTCTCGGTACAGCTCGTCCACCTCCTCGTCGGTGAAGCGGTCGCCCATGGTGGTGAGCAGCTCGCGTAGGTAGTCCTCCTGGATGGTGCC